GCCCCCCCCTGGGGGGGGGCCCCCCCCCCCCCCCCCGTTGGGAGGCACTTTCTTAATTTAAATTCAATTTTATATCTATAGCGCCACATCCCAACTACAGTTATCTCCCAGCTTTCCAAACAGAGCAGGTCAGACTCTGAAGTTAATTACAGAAACCAAACAATTTCCACCATGAGCAAGCACTAGGCGACCCAGGGAAGGAAAAACTTCCTTTTAACAGGCAGAAACCTGGAGCAGAACCACGACTAAGGGTGGGGGGGGCATCTGCCTCGGCCGGTTGGGGGTGAGAGAAAGAGAGGGCAAGAGAGAGAAGGATGGAGAGAGACAGCCTCCACAGTAACACATAGACTGGATGAAAAAAGGCAATGATATTGATAGTAATGATAATGATAATAGCAGGAATAACAGCAATAAGACTATGAACAGTGGCTGAAATTGTAGCAGAGTAGGAACACAGGGACAACCACACTTCCAACCACAGATCCAGCTTCTACAGCTCTAGGAACACCTACAGGAAGTGATAGGAGGAGAGAGGAGAGGGACTAGAAAGCACACGACTACGGGGAAGGGAGAGAGACCCTAACTATTAGCTCTATCATAAAGGAAAGTCTTAAGCCTACTCCTACTGACCCCGCTTCTCCTCCCCCCCCACCCACAGCCTACATCCGCTCCAACCAGATCATGGGCTGGGGGGAGAAGGCCATAGAGATCCGCTCGGTGGAGACCGGCCACCTGGACGGAGTCTTCATGCACAAGAGGGCCCAGAGACTCAAGTTTCTCTGTGAGAGAAACGACAAGGTTGGTTCCCCTTCCAGGAGTGAAAACTACTGTCTAAATACCATGAGAACAAACCAAAACAAGCTTTTTAAGCCTTTTTTGAGGCTTCTGTGAAAGTCTTCAGCTTTCCTTTAAAGTGGCTCTGAATTGTCGATGCAGTAATTGAACCAGCTTCCTATGAGTGTGTATGCTATTTTCTGGACCATATTTTCTGTTTGAAGATGTCAAGGAGGTGTATAGGGAAACTATGTACAATAGGACAATTTAACATACTATATGGACCTTTTTTGATCAATAAAAAAAAGTTGGGTCTGAACTAGGGATGTCCAGATCTAGCTTTTTTCACTTCCGATCCGATCCCGATCCCGGCCTATCAGAGCATGTGTTAAAGTTTAAAGTTATTTATCTACTTACTTAGTTGTCAGACTCATGTTGAACAGGGATTTACTCTGATAACAACTTAATGGTTAGGACACAGACCTGTGGGTTAGGAGATGCTAATGCTAACGCTCGTGTGGGATCGGACTTAAAAAAAAAAAACTGGATCTGGATCTTTATGAATATCGGCGTCCTTTTAAATGGGAAATGGGACACATTCTCACATTCTGTGACAGAGCTAAGAAACCTTTCAGCTTAAACCAGGGGTGTCAAACTCAAAAACACAGTGGGCCAAAATTTAAAACCTGAACAAAGCCACCGGCCAAGATAAAAAAAAGAACCTTTTAATATGGAAGGAAACTAATTTAGCTTTAACATTGAATATGGAACAAGCAACTCTTATTACATTATATATAACTTAATAGTGGAGAAATGCAAAATCAAATTTCAAATAAAAAAACATCAATCGCATTCATTTATGAAATAAGATTTAAAAAAAAAATTCTATTCACAGCCTTCTGAATTAAACATCAAAATGAAATTTTCTTGTCCAGAAAGCTCCTGTTTTCTGCCTTTTTTTTTGTCATTTTTGGGAAGTTTAGCAGTGACAGCTGTAGTGTGTAGCTACTGTCACAGAGGAGTTTCTGGGTCCTGTCCT